TGGGGATAGACAGGGAAGTGGGGGATGAGGATAGACAGGGAAGTGGGGGATGGGGATAGACAGGGAAGTGGGGGATGGGGATAGAAAGGGAAGTGGGACTGCGGAAGCGTCAATCAAATGTGATGTTCATGTCTGAATCTATGGTGTGAGTCAAGGGATCCCCATTGAAGAGGGATTAGGGTGCTCTAATGAGAGGTCAGGACATGTGCCCAGACTACAAGGAGGAAGGTAGTTGCTGGTGACCTTGGAGGGAATGGCAAGAGCAAAGAGATGGATAATCTGAGCATGGACTCCAGCAGCTCCAAACCAAGTACCCATGAAAAATCTGAGAAAACTTAGTTAAGCCTTATATTTCTTTGTACCAAATACTAGGGCACATATACATTCATATAGCAAATAGCCTGCTATATTCTCAGTGGTGTTGCCTACACAGGCTTGTTAGTTACTAATTTTATTCATGTTATTATTTTTTACTATCTTGAATAGTACACAATATTATGACTTGGAAGCTATCCTTTTTATAGGTCTAGTTTACCCGGTGCTCTGTGAGGTTCCCATGTGCTGCTGAGTGAGGCCAAGGGAGCTCATAAGTTTTTGTCTCACTTCCCCACTGGCCTGAAGCACTGTGCCAAGCATTAAGGCTCTTGTCCCATGCTGTACAGAAATAGTCAGCGTCATCCTCATCCTGGAGCCCAGAGATGATCAAGGAAGCGATGTTTCCTGACCTGGACCCCTTGAATCTCTCTGAGATCCCTGAGGGTCGATTGTGCACCCTGTCCACCAGGAGTTTGGGGGACCGACCTGGGTGCTGCTGCAGCCAAGCTGCTCCCTCATTACCAACATTATTGCCATTCCCAGTGCAGGTGATTGTGACTGTCTGTCCCAGGTTCATGGTCATCGATGGTGGCTGAGTCAGCTCTACCTGGGCCAGTGACACTGTAAGAAGAACAGAGAGGACAGTGAGAGTGGGATCACAGCCCACTGTGAGTGAAAGCGAGGAGTGTGGATCAGAACTAGGTGAGGATCCCATAGCTCCTTTTCCCACACCCACTGTAAGAGGCACCCTCACCTGTATGACATACGAGGAGGGTGAGGAGCAGAGGAGCCCAGCTCATGGTGCAGACTCAGGCTCTGTTTCCCCAAGTTCCGATTTGGAGACTGAACTCTACTAACTCTCCTTATATCTCCCACAGTCTTCATGGGGGTGGAGTCACTATATTCAAATAAGACCTTGCTTTCTGTCTGTTCCTGGGCCACCTGCCTGAGTACTCACAGGTCAGCAGGAGAAAGCATAAAAGGAGAGTAAAAGGCCAGGAGCTGGACCCCTGGTTGGAGGTGGCCTGACTCATGATGACCCCTGGGTCCTTCAGGTCAGTGCTGTAGCCCAAATCTAACACAGTGAACACTGTGATGGCTGAACTCCCCTGCAGGCCCTTAAAGGTTTCCCAGATGGGTGGGGCCATCTCAGGAATATCCCCCACTGCTCCTCACTGCCCTCAGATCCCAAACCCTACTTTTCTTTATGAAACACCTGGGCATTCCAGATGTGAGGAATTAGAGGAACACTGGGTGTCCTGACCCTCTTTTCTGAACTGTTCACAATGTTGGTGAAAGATACAAGGAAGCCGGGAATTCTCAGTATACCGAGTGCCAGGCTAAGTGATTCTCTTGCCTACAGAGAGCTTGCCTTCCACCTGCATCAGCATCACATATGTCATTACTTTACTGACATCGTCTGTTACATCTACAGAAATAAAGAATATTTTATGTTTCCATTTTTGGGAGTTTAATCACACTTATTAGCAGCACTCTCATTGTCAGCCTCTGAAAGTTCTCTATATTGTTATTTAACTTACTTTTTAACCACTATATATGTCTCTTTGCTTGAGACCCTCCCACTCAAGTGTAAATAATATTCCTGTCTACTTTCCCAACACCCATTATACAGGGACAACCTTGCAAATGTTACAGTGTGAGTTTGTGTTTTACAATAAACAACTCACATTTTTTCTTTAGGACTTTTGCTTTTTATTTAGTGGATTTTTTTTTCTTTTTAAACTGATAATTATACTTTGAATTTTATCCATTTTTACATGAAATTATTTTATTACTTCCAATTGGTTAGCATCCCACCTTCTATGTGTTGGTTATAAATTCCCCTTGTGTTAGACAACTAGCTTGCATGCAACACTTTGCTCACAGTAAGGATCCTCTCATAAATAGTTCCCTCTGTACAGCTGTACAGGGTAGACAGCTGCATGGCATGTGCAAACACACTTATTTTTTGTGTGTGCTGAGGACCTTTCTTCCAGATGGCTGAACATGTTTATGCCCCCACATTTGACAGTTTGTGATTCCCCACATTCTCACTGGCATCTTATTATATTTTACATTTTGCTTATTTATTGTTCTTTTTTGAAATTTCAGATTAATATGAGGGTACAAATGTTTAGGTTACATTGTTTTCATTTCTAAGGTAAAGTTCAAGTTGTAGTTAAGCCCTTCACCAGGGGGGGTGTACTGAACACCCTCACAATGTACACATAGGTGAGATCTGGCCAATTGCCCCCCTTCCCCCCTCCCTACTCATACTCTGAAGACTCCATCTGACATTCAGTATGTCAGGTCTTTCTTGTCCAGCTAGCAGAAGTACAATGGGGCTAGTGGTTCCACAAATCTGGTGTTTGGGGGCAAACACAAGTAATAGTTGGTACCAACACAAATGATAAGATCCAAATGTTGCTGCTTCTACCACAGCACAAGGTAGTGACTTCCTGGTCCACAGACTCCAGCAATAACAATGGTCACAAAGACCATGTCCAGGACCCTGAAAGCTCATTGACTCACAGAGATAGAAGGTGTAGGGCCCAACCACCAGCCAGGCTGGGCACCAGTCCTCTGTGCAGAGAGTGGTGAGAATGAGGAGGAAAAAGGCCAGGCCATGGTGGAGATGCTCCAGACATCTGCTTCCCAAGACCATCAGCTGAGACAGAGATGCCCAAATCTTTATCATTCCCCATACTCTGGTAGGGGTAGGAGCCCATCATTAAAATTATTTTCCACCTCTCTGATTTTCCAAGCACCTCCCTGAGACATGACTGATTCTGGGTCCCTCTGCCTGGGAGTTTGGTTGTGGAAGGTGTGAGTCTGGTTAACTTCTGATGTGGGCATCCTCAGGGTCTTGGGAGGAATGATCCACCAGGCACAGGGCACCAGCCAAAGAACCCCAGCTGTGGCCTCACCGTATGTACCAAACACAGGCCCACAGCGCCTCCTGCTGGCTGTCCTGGTTCAGCATCGTGTCTGAAAGGCACTGTCAGCATCCTGGGCTGTGTCTTTGCCTCTGTGAGGGGGCCTACCTGACCTTTGCCTTTCTTCACAAAGGACACCAAGGGTCCTCTGTAGGCTCCAACTTTCTCATCAGAACTCATCTCTTAGCTTCACAGAGTGCACTCCTCACTGTTTGGACTTACTGAGTGCTCCTTTGTTTGTGTGAGGAGTGAACATTCAGCACAGCAAAAGGACCCAAAGAACAGCCACAGCCTCAATGTGTAGTATTCTTGAGAAGCTCTATGTCTTTCTGACACCAATTTCCACAGACTTGGAAATTTATTACTTTCATGCCCACCCAGGTGTGGATAAGGTAGGTCTCACAGGAGATCAGAAAACAGCCCTGGATCCCACCTTCTCTGCTTTAGTCTGAGAGAATTATGCTCACCCAGGATCCTAGAGGGAGGCAGACACATCTGTGCTCCCAAAAGCAGACCAGACAATCAACATGCCTCAGCAGATGCTGAAATGGCCTCGACATTCATGTCTACCCCCTCTCAGTTGTGACTTTACCTCAGTCCTATCGCTGATCTTAAATTGTCCGTGTAAATCAGCTTCATATTCTCAGGGGTCCTCAAACTTTTTAAACAGGGGGCCAGTTCACTGTCCCTCAGACCATTGGAGGGCTGGACTATAGTTTACAAGAACAGGCAGCAGTAGCAAAACACCTGACAGGCGGATACATGTCCTGGGCGGGCCGCATGTGGTCCATGGGCCTTAGTTTGAGGACGCCTGCTTCTTGCCTGTACTCTGAGATCAGGCTGTCCTCCCAGGGACCAACTAGGAGACACACCCATCTGTGACCCCAGAGTCAGGCATGAAGACCTCAGTCTTGGCTGTAAATATTGAAGCATCCCTGTGACTCAGTTTCAGTCCCTCCCACCTAGGGACTAGGGTGGCACTGCCTGTCTAGGGATCTACTCAGTGGCCATTAGGAGACTTACATGGGGCCAAGAGGAAGCCAAGCTGTCCCACACACCTGATAATAGGCCCAAAGAGGATCCTTATCACTGCACCAGCTCTCTGAAGTCCAAAGTCCAAAGTCCAGGATACAGTCCAGTCCACCCACGGACTAAATGGATTCTATGCTGACTAAGACTTAAAGTAAGTGCCTCCCCTCCTATTATGGTTTCTATTACAGCCCCAACAGCCATGTGACCCAGATACAACCCCATTCAACTATCGTCCCAGAGACAATTCCATCAGCCCAGAGACCTAACAGAAGAAGGCATTAATGTGCCAAAACTGAAAGTATATAGCTATCTAACAGTATTTTTCCTCTTGTTCTCCTCATCCTTTAGAAACCACCTTTGTAATTTCTGTTTCTGTGATTTTGACTATATTGGGTACTTTGTATGTGTGCAATTGTAAAATATTTGTCTTATCTTGCTTAGCATAATGCCCTCAAGTTTCATTTATTTTGTGGCTTATGACAATATTTCTTCCTTTGTAATGTATGTAATATTCCATTACATGCATATAACTCATTTTCTTTATCCATTCACATCAATGGGCATTTCAATTGTTTCTACCTCTTGTTTTTTGTGAATAAATGATACAATCAACATGGGTGTATGAAGATCCCTTTGAAATTCTGATTTGAATTATTTTGGATATATGCTCACAAGTGGGGACTAATGAAATTTTTAATTTTGATTTTTAGTTCTTGGAATATAGGAAGAGTCTTATTTTATACTCTGTGTTTGTAACTCCAACTTGAGTCCCTGTGGTTCTATTTTTTTTACTTGTTCTTTTTTGTCTATGTCTTCTTAATCTGTCATATATGGATATAGTTTTGCTGAGTATTATATATTCTGTTTGTTTTTTTATTAGATCATATTTGTGCACATTAATTCTATCATGGGATATGAGATCTTGAATGATGTTATTATCCTACAGAGAGGCCTTATATTTGCTTTGGGCAGGTTATTGTGAAACATTAACAATAATTGTTAAAAGAGACAAAGATGTTCATTATTTAATGGTGAAGAGGTCAATTCATCAAGAGGACATAAAAATCACAAGTACACACACACCTAACAGCAGAATGCCTACATATATAAAGAAAATATTAATGGACATGAAGGAATAAACAGATAGCAACTTAATACTAGTAGGGGACTCCAATATCCCACATTTAATCACCACACAGAAAATTAATAAGGGAATACTGAACTTGAACAGTGCTTTATACCAAATGGACCAAATAGACATACAGGGTGTAGATAAAGTTCATGTGCCATTTAAAATAGTTGTAACTTCAAATTACACACGAATTCTATGTCCACTCTCTATATAGAAATTTCTATTCAACAGCAGGTGAATGTACATTGTTTTCTAGTACACATAAAAACATTCTCTAGAGTAGACCATTTAAGGTCATAAAGCAAACCTTAAGAAATTCAAGAAAATTTAAATAATATCTAATAGTGTTTATCACCACAAGGGAATGAAACTAGAAATCAGTAACTGGAGGAATATTGAATAATTCACAAATGGACAGAAGTTAAACAGAATGCTTCTGAACACCCCATCATTCAAAGGAAAGGTCAAAAGGGAAATTTTAAAATATCGTGAGACAAATGATAACAGAAACACAACATAACAAAATTTATAGGATTCAGGAATAGCAGCTCTAAAGGAGAATTTTACAGAAATTAAAAAGAAGAAAGATGGCTTGGTACCCATAGCTCAGTGGTTAGGGTGCCAGGCATGCACACCAAGGCAGGTGGGTTCGAACCTGGCCCACGCCTGCTAAACAACAATGACAACTGCACCAAAAATTAGCTGGGCTTTGTGGCCGG